GCCCTCGCCCTTCCCCCACCATGCCGTGGGTTAGGTGGGTCTGTATCCAGAGGTAGGTGCTTCCGGTTGGGACTTGTCACTGTTTCCCAATATTCCTGTGTGGGTTGGTTGGCAAAGCTGGGCTTGAGGAGTTGGTGCTGAGAGCCGACAGGGACCCAGGGGTGGGAGTGTTTGGAATTGAGGGGGGATCCAAACAGGCCATGGAGGAAGGGAGTCTAGCCAACATCAGGGTTGTGTTGTCACTTGCTGAGAAGCTATTTTGGGGTGAGTTGAGAGGGTTGCCCAGAGCCTCAGTGTTCAGAGGATTGGGTCTTTGTCTTTAGTAGAGTTTTCAAGTTCTGACCGCAATGAATGGAAGAACGAATAACCTTCATTTCTTTTCCTGAGGCCTGGTATTGGGAGGGGCCGCCCTAGGCATGGAGAAAGGGGCCTTCCAGGGTTATTTATGGCACCTGGTTTTTGAAATCGAGTCTTTACAGTCCTAGAGTGTCGAATTAAGTGAAAATTGGTCTATCTGGGAGAAGGACCTTTGGGCTAGGCTCAGGAATGTGCAACCCAGGGAGGTGAGTCCTGGGCCAGATGCGCTCCCCATGGACTGGTCTGGCCTGGTCTGGGTCTGGTTTTTGGCTTTGATGACTGCACCCTGCCCCACCCTACCTGGTGAATTGGGAGGCTCCCTATGCAGGTATGTGGAGGGTTTGAACACCAAACAGCCTCTGCTGACTGTAAACACTTGTAAGGTGGGGACTTGGGGGCTCTGCTCTCCTGGGGGCCTCCCTCTCCCTGAGCCTGTCTGCCAGTCACACGCTACTGAGTGAGCCCTACCCTTCCTATCATGCGCAAGTAAGAGGTCATTTGTGGTGGGAGAAGTGATCCGGACTTCCCCTTCCCTCCCAGACAACGCCTGCTGTTTCCACATCTTCAGGGGCTGACTGCTTTCCAGGGCCTCCAAGCAGGTTGCTGTGCCGTTACCCCAGCGTTTTCTTTGTTTTACCTCCAGGGATTCCTCTTTGCCTGGCCACCTGTTGGGTGCTGCTTGTTCATTCATTCATTCAACAAGTCTTTATTGAGCTCCTACTATGTGCCAAGCACATGGAGACATCAATGAACAAAACATGCTGCCTGCCCACATGGGACTCTGGCTGTCACTGCTTGCTCCTGAAGCTGAGTTTGCCTCCTGAGCCCTTTGCTTGTACACAGCTCCTGGCCTCCCTCTGGTTACTAGGGGCCTTTGTTCTTCTAGAACTTACTTGGTACTTTCAGACTGAACCTGACCAGCAGGTCTCTGAAAGTTACTGAGAATAGTATAGCACTGGTCCGGGGCTTTTTTGCTTGCCCCAGGCTCCTGGTGATTGAGGGCACTCATTCCTGTTGATCTGAATGCAGCTTCACTCCTGTTCCCTTCCCTACGTTGGGCTTAACGTGGCTGATTTATTTCATTTCTCTTTAAACATGTCTTTCTCCAAGGCTAGGCCTCATCCATCTCCTTGTACCTATGTGAACAAGCCCCTCATTTCTCAGGCATCAGGTGTCACTGCCTGGCTGATTACAAGCTGTCCCCAGCTCCTGGCCTAGATTGCCCTTGGCCTGCCTAGTGCTTTGCTGATTGATCTTCTTACAACCAAATGAGGTCCACTCAACTCTCAGGCCTTCCCAGTCCCCATCTCCCATTTCAGCTTCCCCTTTTGTCTTAACTTGTGACCAAAAAATGTCCTGTCAGTTCTTTCTTCATCATACCTTCCACAAAGCTTTCAGTTGTTCCTTTTCCATATTTCCTATTACTTCCTCTATGCTGGTGGGTACCCTGTTTGGTCCTGTGTTCCTGGAACTGCGAGCTGATTGCAACCTTCCCATCTCCCACTGGATCTGGAGCCCTATCAAGCTTGGCCTTTAGAGCTGGCATCCAGGGCTTTTTCAGGCACCTGCTGCTGCCCAGCCAGACTGTTTTTCTCTCCTGATGGTCATCCCTTTTTCTTCCCTTTGTTCTTGTGTCCTCCTTGGCCCCGGCTACAGGCTACATGCTGTCCTCTGAGAGAAGGGCCCAGGTGACTTCCTGTCTCTTGCAACTGGCTGCGATGCTGAGGTCTCTGTAAACCTCACACTCAGTGCCATGTGGCAGCCTGTGCCCTTCTCCTTGATTAACGAGTCATGGCACTGGCCCCTTGGATATATGTGACTGAGCCTGACGTGCAGGGCCTGTAGTAGAAGCCCAAAGAAGGCACTGCAACCAGGAGAGTTCCATGAAAGGCTTCATGAAGACAGCCCCGGGCAGGCTGAAGTCACTGAATGTCAAGGCAAGGCAGTATTGAGGTGCCTCCGGGACCAAGGGGAGGAGGCAGGCAGCGCAGATCCTTCTGTCCCCACCCTTGCCTTCTCCCTCCAGTTGCTCGCCATCCAGTGCTATTTTGGTTAGCGTCTCCATTCATGCTGTTTGGAATCTTCCAGCTCACCATCACCCCTCCACTCAGATGTCACCTCTGTGAAACCCTTCCTCAGACTCCACCACCACCTTCCTCCCCACTCTCCTGGAACATGTCACTGCTTGAAGGTGCCATACCTGTCTCCTCACCAGACTTTTAGAGCCCGGGGAAGGCAGCGCCCCTCTGAACGTATCCCTGCTTGGTGATAAGCAGAATAGGCACCTTGTGGCCCAGAGAGATGAATAAAATACGCAAAGGAATGGCTAGGAGTGTCTTGGTTCCTTCCACCTCCTACCCATGTTGTCTTCTGCTCAAGAAGCATAGTGGGACCCTGGAGAGCAGGTGATGGGAGTCATAAGAGCTTCCTTGGCCCTCTGTGGCTCTATGCAAAAGTTACTCTAGACTTAGAAGACAGGTACCAGGAGTGGAGAACTTTCAGGAGGGCAGCCTAAGAGCAGACAGGTTGCCCTAGAGCCCCCCACCTCCGTTACTGGAGGAGGCCTTGGGCAGAAGCTACACTTCTGGAGGTCTGCCAAGGCCTCACAGTTGGGCTGGGTGATGGCTCCACATACCCGTCGCCCTCCTGTGCCCTGTTTTCTCATTGGCTCGCTCTTTCTTTCTGGTTATTTAGAGAGGATTCTCTCCAAACTTAAGGGGCTAGGCCTGTTGTATGGCTGAGGGTGTGTTCATCCCATCCACACAGATGGCAGCCCTCCAAGCAGTGTGTCCTAGGGCTGGGAGTGGTGGGGAGATAGGAAACTAGCCTGGGAGGACAGGACTTGTCAGGCTGCCTCCCCTCACCAGTGGTCAGACCCTGTGTGCTCTTCTAACATGTTGTCCCTGTGCATAGCCCCAGGGCCAGTGGGTTGACTCTGGCCTGACATTTGGGCTACTGACATACAATCATTTCATGCTGTTCCAAGCCTTTTCTGACCTAAGTGCCTGGGACTCTGGGTGGGACAAAACGTGTCTGGAGCCTCCAGCAAGGCATCAGGGACCCAGCTGCCTGGTTCCCTGTGGGACTGCTGCTGAGCTGTTACAGCTCCACCTTTTATGTTGGGGGCAGCTGAGCTAAATGTTGTGGGGTTGGTGTGCCAAGCTTGCGGAGTCCTGGTAAGCCCAGGTAGGGGTTTCATAGCAGAGCAGGAGCTCACATAGGCTACACAGCCAACAGCCATAGGGGCCTCTGGTAGAAGAAAGGAACAGTTAGTTACTAGATTCCTTGAGTGCTCAGCTGTGACCATTTCCCCTGAGGGCCACCTGCCCCTGGCTAGGTGCCACCTTCATCTCCTCATTGCCTGTGATAACTTGGGGTGGCCCTCAACTAGGTCAGTTACCCCCAGGGTTCTGGGCTCACCTTGCCTCTCCTCACCCCCAACAGCCTTGGGTGCTGCCTATGGTACAGCCAAGAGTGGCACTGGCATCGCGGCCATGTCTGTCATGCGGCCAGAGCTGATCATGAAGTCCATCATCCCCGTGGTCATGGCTGGTATCATTGCCATCTATGGCCTAGTGGTGGCAGTCCTTATTGCCAACTCCTTGAATGAAGGCATCAGTCTCTACAGGTGAGTGCTGGGTCCCTCTCACCACACCCACCCCCTGCCTGGTGTCAGGCCACTGCACAGGGCCGGGGGGCTGGGCAGCGGGCATCTGGCTAGTGGCATATGCCTGCCATCTTCCCGGGCAGGCACCTAATGTCTATCCTGTGTCCTCTCTCCCCCAGGAGTTTCCTCCAACTGGGCGCTGGCCTGAGTGTGGGCCTCAGTGGGCTGGCAGCTGGCTTTGCTATTGGCATTGTGGGGGACGCCGGTGTGCGGGGCACTGCCCAGCAGCCCCGACTATTCGTGGGAATGATCCTGATCCTCATCTTCGCAGAGGTGCTGGGCCTCTATGGTCTCATCGTTGCCCTCATCCTCTCCACAAAGTAGGCCCTCTCCAAGCCCACCAGCCACAGAATATGATGTAAAGACCACCCCCTCCTCATTCCAGAATGAACAGCCTGACACACACGCACGGGGCAGCTGCCCCCTACTCCCAGTAGTTGGTCTTGTAAATGCGCAATGTCCTAGTGCCCATCGTCTGTTGCCCTTACCCGCCCCGTGCAGTGGACATCTGGGCCCACTCATCACCCATCCAGGTCCCCTGACCAGTGAGGATGCTGGTTTCTGGCCACCTCCACCCATATACCTGCCCTAGAGTGCTCTGTATAAGGATGAATTCAAGTTGTCATTTTCACTGGATGTTTATTTATAAAGATTTGACCTGTTCGCACGTTTGTGGAGCAACCCTCCCGTCTCCCAACTATATAGTAATCTTTTAGAGTGTCGCTTTGTGGGGTTACTGTGTGCCCTGAGACTTCGGATGGAATCACCGCCCTCCAGCCCTGACTGCTGGGCAGTGTGCTGGGCCTGTTAGGCCTGGAGCCGTGTCCAATAAAATTCTTGGATGTGACTGGATGCCTGTGTGAAGCGCTTGTGTGGGCCAGGGGGAGGGGTGTGCCGCCGGGCGTGCGGTCACGTGGGTGCGTCGGTCACGTGGCACAGCGCCTTAGTCAGCTGACAGTCATGTGAGCGAGGCGGCGCTGCGGGCTGGCTGCAGCAGTCGCCTGCAGGCTTTTGGGCCCCTTCAGCTCTGGTCAGCTCTGTGCCCGCAGTTCAAGATGCGCGACGGGAAGGACACTGCCAGGGGCCCGGTGCTCCAGTTCACCAACTGCCGTATCCTGCGGGGCCGGAGGCTGCTCAGGTGGTGTGTGGTCCCGGCGGGTGCGGGTCCCGGCGCTGCTGGAGTGGGGCCGGGGGGCTCAAGGCCCAGCAATGTTCATTTCGGGGGAGGGATGCTGGGCCGCTGATCCGAACCCGGCTCTTCTCTGTCCACAGGGAGGATCTGTGGGTGCGGGAGGGCCGCATTCTGGACCCAGAGAAGCTGTTCTTTGAGGAGCGGCTCGTGGCCGACCAGCAGCGAGACTGCGGGGGCTGCATTCTGGCACCAGGCTTCATCGACGTGCAGATCAACGGTGGGGTCCAGGGCCCGGTGGTGGAGACCCAGGGGAGGACCTCTGAGCACTGTGCTACCTCCTCTTTTCTGTGGCCATAGGTGGATTTGGCATTGACTTCTCTCAGGCCACAGAGGACGTGGGTTCGGGAGTAGCCCTAGTGGCCCAGAGGATCCTGTCGCATGGAGTCACCTCCTTCTGTCCCACTTTAGTCACCTCGCCTCCTGAGGTTTATCACAAGGTAAGGTCAGGCTACTGGCCTCTAAGGTAAAGGGGGCCCCAGAAGTAGCTAAGTCCTTAACTTAAAGATCTCTTCTCCCCCCAAATGTCCCCTGGCACTTGGATCTGATCTTAGCCTGCTGGTCTCTCTCCACCTGGTCCTGGGGTCTTGCCGCCTGGTCTTTCTGAAATTCAGGTGTCGCTCTGCCTGCCTCCCTAGATCCCTACCCTTTCCCCCAACACCTCTTCCCTCAGTTCCTGTCTGGCTGTCCTCTTAGGCCTCCACATTTGCTGCCTCAGCACCTTCACCTGCCTCTCCTATCCTGCAGTCTGGCCACCTCCGGGCTCCAGAAAATGCCACCTGGGGCCGCTGGGGACTCCCCGATAGCCTTAGGCGCTTTTCAGGCTTTTCTCCCCATAATGCGCCTGTGGTGTGTAGTAAACAGCCTTCCAGAGGGAAGCTCCATTGTAACCCAGACTTCCTCTGCTGCTCTTGCCTACACCCCACACTCTCCCCTTTTTGACCTTTTCAGACATTCAGGGGCCTGGGGTCCTTTTTTCTTGAAGAAATTTTACCTCTTTTTTAAAAAACGGATTTCTTTTTTTAATTTAATTTAATTTTTTTTGGAGAGAAGGGAAGGGAGAGAGAAATAAACACTGATGTGCAAGAGAAACATCAATTGGTCGCCTCTCAACATGCCCCCAGCCGGGGACCTGGCCCACAACTCTGACATGTGTCTTGACCGGACATCAAACCAGGGACCTTTTGGTTTTCGGGCTTGTGCTCCGTCCTCTGAGTCACACCTGCCAGGGCTAAGAAGTTTGACTTTTTATGCAGGGTCTCCACTTTGCTCTTTGCCACATTTTCTTTGTCTCATCATCTGTGCGTGTGTGCATGTTCTTTTTTCATGAGGTGTTTGAAAGTAGATTGTATGTTTCATGTCTCATCCTTAACATTTAACTGTTTCTTAAAAGCATGGGTATTATGTTGTGTGAGGGCAGTAGGGATATGGAGTTTAAGATAAACTACCATATTTGTTCCAGTTTTGAAGTAGGGTTTTGTTGGGTTTTTTTCCTTCTAGTACAAGATCCATTCCAGGATCACTGATTGCATTGCCCTCTGTGGGGTTCCCTCCCGGGTGTGTGAACAGTCAGAGGTGGGAGCTGTGGGAGGTGGGTGTGGGCTCCTGACTTTATCATCTGTCAGCTGGGAGGCTTGGGGTATGCCTTACTCCTTCTGAGTCTCTGTTTCCTCATACCTGAAGTGAGAAGAATAATGGTATTCATCTTTTAGAGTTGTTGGGCGCTCAGCACTGTGCTTGGTACCCATTAAGCACTTGGCAAACGTCAGCTGTGGACATCTTTCTGGAAATTTCTTCCAGCACAGGGTCAAATGCTAGAAACCAAACTCATCTTCTTGCTGCAAACTGGCCCCTGGTTCTGTATTTTCTGTCCTGGTCATCATTCCATGATTTACCCTACATGGAATCCTGGAAAATGCCCACCCTCTTGCTCATTTATTCTTCGTCCTTTGTCCTCCCCTTTCCCAGTCCCCACCAGTGAGGCTTAGTAACAGTTACCTAATCTCCCGAAGCGTGGCCTTGCCAAGATACAGGGCTCAGCACGTCCCTTACACTTCTCTGCGGGATAAGCACCATCCTCCCAGACATTCCTTCCTCACTTGCAAAGCCATTGCTCTTTCACTAGGCACATTCCAATTACTTGAGGCATTTGCTCTCCTGCCCCCCAGGTCTCTTCCTGGAAGGCCTCTGCTGCACCAGCTGGTTCACACTGCTTCCTCATCTACCTTTACAAGCACATTTGCCCATCATGATACAGACTCGGGTCTTTTTCCTTAGTAGAAGGAGTTTCTGCACAGTAGGATTTTTATCTTGCATTTTCTCCCCAGCACTCATCAGCCTTCTTAAACCTTTAAAGAATAAAGACCTTGGAAGCAGAGAGTAAACTGGTTTCCAGCAGTAAACTGGTGGAAATTGTGGAGGGCTTTGAATATGAAAAATATAATTCAGATATCACCTTAGAAACTACAGGACTGCTCACTTGGGTATCTCCCACACCCCTTCTCCCATCCATCCCACCTTCCTCCAAGGCCCATTCACACTGGGCAGAACTGAATCACCACTTTGTCAGAGTTACCCAGGTTCTTTGCTGTCGTGTTCTGGTCCATTGAGACCACCTGCTCTTTTTCTGTGGTCTCCTTCTACTTTTGTGCCTTTTGTTACCATTTCAAGAGGAAGATTTACTTGCATTGTGCTCTGTTTCAGATCCATTTCTGCAGAGGCAAGATCAGGCACCTCAAGGTGGCAGCCAGACCATGGCCTCTGGCCCTACATGCCCTTTACAGTTGACCTTTCCCTCTGCTTTCCTCCCTTGTAGGCGCCTCATTCCCTTCACCTCCAGGCAGTCCTTTATATTCTGTTCTCTCTGCTCTCTCTCTTTCCCTTATAAAACGCATTCATTGTCTTTTCCATAATCTTTAGTGAATTTATGTATGTTACATGACTTTTTAGGAAAAATAGCAGCCCTTTGTTCCCACGGAGAGGCAGTCACTTTCAGTTCCAACTGACCCTTTGCAATTTGCCCTTACATCTAAAAAAAACTGTTAGTGCTCCTGCTTGACCTTTCAGTGTAGGGCAGTATACATTTACTTCCCACCAGGAAAGATAAAGATTGGCTCTCCCTGGCCCCTTGAGCCCTCTCTTAAGCTCTTCCAGCACCCCATCCTCCCCAAACAGTTTATTGTAGTCTTGCTTAGCTTAGTTGTGTAAAGGGAATTTGTAGCTCGTTTACCTTTTCTTACCTGTCAGCTCTGTTTTCCTTGGAGTTAATACTCTGTTTACATAGAGTTCGGGTTTTTTTTTTAATCTACTAACTCAGTTCCAGGTTTTCTGCCAGTTTTCTCTTCCTCCTCCTCAGGATATTTAGACAGACCAAGATTCCATTTGTTTTGTCTTCCTGGGGAGGCCTTTGGGACCTACTCTTCCAGCACTGGCTTCCGGCCTTCCTGGGACGAACTGTCCTGGGAGTCCCCTTCCCCTCACCTGGTGGGGATTCCCTTGGCCTCTTTCTGCCGGATCTTTCTGTGCAGTATCCTGTGTCTTCCTCTTTGCTGGTTTACACCTTTGTTCGGAGGACAATATATATACTCCAGTGACTTTTGGAGAAAAGGGGGCCATGAGATACAAAGCTTTTGAGGTCTCAAAGGTCCAAAATGCCTTTATTCTGTTGATTGATATTTTGGCTATGTTAGAATTCTAAGTGAGGAGCCATTTTCCTCTAGAATTTTATTTATTTTTAATTACGTTTTAGTGATTATGCTATTACAGTTGTCCTGTATTTTTCCTCCTTTGTCCCCCTCCACCCAGCATACCCCACTCCCTCAGGCAGTCCCTCCATCCTTACACAGCACAGGTGTGTAAGTTCTTTGGCTACTTCCTCCCCTATACTGTACTTTACATCCTGTGGCTATTCTGTAACTACTTACTTGCACTTCTTAATCCCTTCACCTCTCACCCATTCTCCTACACACACTCTCCCACCCCCTTATCTTTAACCTTTGTCATTTTAATTATGATGTGCCTTGGAGTGGGCCTCTTTCCGGCCATCTTGTTTGGGACTCTCTCTGCTTCCAGGATTTGCATGTGTATTTTTTCCACCAAATTAGGGCTAAGTTTTCTTTCATTATTTTTTCAAATATATTTCCAGTGTCTTGCTCCTGCTCTTCTGGCACCCCATACTTCAATCAAACTATGAAGTAAATGTTGGATCGCTTAAAGTTGTCCCACAGGCTGTTTATATTATTCTCTTTATTTTTTATTCTTTTTTTTATTGTTCTGATTTGCTGTTTTTTGCTTCCTTATGTTCCAAATCATTGGTGTGATTTTCAGCTTCATCCACTCTACTGTTGTTTTCCCTGTAAATTGTCCTTTATTTCAATTAGTGTATCCTTCATTTCTGACTGGATCTTTTTTATGCTGCTGAGGTCCTTACTCAGTTCCTTGAGCATCCTTATAACCAGTGTTTTTGAACTCTGCATCTGACAGATTCCTTATCTCCATTTTGTTCAGCTTTTTTTCTGGAGTTTTGATCTGTTCTTTCATTTGGGTCATGTTTCTTTGTCTCCTCATTTTGGCAGGTCCCCTGTCTTTGTTTCTATGTATTAGGTAGAGCTGCTTTGACTCCATGTCTTGGTGATGTGGCCTAATGTAGTAGGTGTCCTGTAGGGTCTAGTGGCACAGCCAAGCTGGGTACTCGAGCTGTGCTCTCCGTGTGGGCTGAGTACACCCTTGTCTTGTAGTTGATCCTTGGTTGCTGTTGGCAGATCAATGGGAGGGATTTACCCAGGCCAGTCAGCTGCAAGGACTGGCTGGGACCACTGACCACCAATCTCTGCCCTCAGTTGAGGATCAGCTGTGCAGGTGGTATTGCACTGTGGTCTCTAGCTGTCCAATGGGTGGGCTGGCCCCTGGAGTTTCCTCAGTGGTACAGACAAAGATCAGCCCCTATCTGTGTTTTACCCTGGGCCACCCTGCCTGATAAAGCAGTATGAGATGGTTGCTACTTGTGCTGGGCTTAGAGATTTCCAGGTGAAGCCCTAGCTGTCAATCTAGGCCTGAAGCTCACTGAGGCCAGCTGCTACTTGTTAGAGAGGATTTGGGAAGTTATGAAAAATGATCCAAGAGCATTCATATGGAAAAGCGGCTTGGGTGGGCCCATAAGTTGGGTGGGGTGGAGTTTCTGGGGATCTCCAAAGCAGGTCAAACAGTGTTAGCCAGGTTGATGGAATCTTAGTTATGGCACCAGTATGTCAGCTCTGTGGGGTGAGGAGAACTCAGAAAAGGACAGTGGTCTCTGCTTGCCTTGATGCCAAACACCTCAGCCTCTCCCTGCACGCCACTGGTGCCTCTGAAGCCACCACCCTGTCGCCAGAGCCCAGAGAGAGTGGGTCTGAGTAGGTTGAGGCTGTGTGCGGGTTCTTTAAGAGGAACTGCTTGGGGCTCCAAAAGTTTTTTTCACAGATTCAATCCCCACTGGTTTTTGCAGCCAGTAGTTTTGGGGACTTACCTTCCTGGCACTGGAACCCTGGGGTGGGGTCCTGGTGTGGGTCTGGGACTCCTCACTCCTGAGATATCCCTCCCAAATTTTTATCCACCACCCGTGGATGTGGGCCGTTCCGTGTCTGCGCCCCTCTGTCTGCACCCTTCATACCAGTCTGGATGGGTATGGTTTCTTTAATTCCATAGTTGTCAGCCTTCCATTCAACTCGATTTCTGTCAGTTCTGAGCAATGGTTGTTCTATACTTTAGTTGTAATTTTGTTGTGGTTGTGGAAGAGGCGAACCATGTCTGCCTACCCTGCCATCTTGACTGGAAGTCCTTCTCTGGAATTTTAAAGGCATTGCTATACTGTTTTTTTAACTTCTGGAGTTGCTGATGAGAAGTTGGAAGCCATCTGACCCCTAATCCTTTGTGTGTGGCCTGTTTCTTTCCTCTGCAAGCTTGTAGGATCATCCCTTTGCCAGGAAGTCTGAAGTCTCAGGTTGATACCCTGGGGACTGGGGGGAGTTCATCTACTGTGCTAGCCTTTGGCAGGCCCTTCCAGCGCCCCCGTCCTCCACAAGTAGTTTCAGTCTGAAAGTTCGGGGTTTTGTGTCTTTGTTTTTCTTGAATTATTTCTTTGATGATTTTTCTCCCTCATTTCTCTGTCCTTTCCTTCTGGGAGTTATCCTCCTATTGGGCCTCCTGGACAGTTTCTTTTTTTCCTCTTTGATTTTTGACTCTGTTTTCTGGACATTGTCTTAGCTTTTTCTTATCTTCCATTTCTCTCCTGTTTTGTTTTGTTTTTTTACTTCAGTGCACTTTTTTGTTAATCTGAAAATAAAAAGGCGATAAATTTTAAGGTGAGAGGCAAACAAGGATTTGAGATTTAAAAAAATAGTATTTGGGAAGCATTGATTTAGGAGGAAGTCCAAATGTTTTGATTTGGAGACAAGGGCAATGAATATTTATGATAAGGAAAAGGGGAACAAGTACATCAGTAGAAAGGAGGCATTTTTATTGGTGTGGATAATACAGTGATATTAATTATAATTGATTTTAACTTTCAGTTCAACAGTCATAATGACTTTCTTGTTATCTTTGCAAACAGGTCTTTGGAACACAGAGTCTTTTCAAGCCTCGTTCAAAGGTTATCTTGCCCTAGTTTAACATTTCGAAGGAGTGAGACATAAGATGTGCAAGGCAGCTCCTGTGGCATGGCACCTCTGCCTCTGTTTCACAGTGGTTCCGCTTATTTTGGGGGCACTTGAATGTGGAAGTGCTTGCTTTTCCCCAGGAATGTTCCTTTTTTCTAACATCCCATTGTTTCAGGGGCCTGAAATCTCTTCTCACAAGCCCACTTTGCCTTGGATTTCTCCTCCCCCTTCAGTTATATCCTGTCATTTGTTGTGCTTTCTCTGTGTTCTTTCAGAGCCTTTCCCAAGCTGGTAGGCCTTGGTCATCAGCTCTGAGTGAGAACAGGTCTCAGCCAGCCACCAGAAGCACCCAGCCTGGGGAGGTTCCGGAGGGCACCTTAGGTTGAGATCCCCGAGTCCTTCTCTTGGGCTGATCGGATCCCCAGAGAAGAGTTTTCTTGTTTTCAGGGGGAACAGTCCTGACTGGTGACATTGCAGGAGCATTAAAAATGCAAACTTTGTTTAATTGCCCCATTTTCTGCTTCTACCTGCCTGCCGGGTTCACTTCTCCAGGCACTGGACAGGGCACACTCAGGGATTCAGCTGCTCTTCAACGAGGCGTCTGCTGTTGGTCCCCCAACTTCTCAAGGCACCAGGTGCTGCCAAGGCCTGAGCCCATGGGGGCTGCGAGGCCTCGTTCCCTGCCTGTCCCTGCTGTGCTGACCACATCTGCCCAGCATCTACTTGCTGGACTCGCAAGTCGGCCGGCCCTTCCCATCTTCTCTGTCATACTGGGTCTAATTAAGCCTCTTTACTTTTCTGTACTTCTGTCCCATGCTCACCCCAGGGACTCTGCACTATCCTATGGGCTCCCTGCTGGGATGCCTGCCTGCCTGTCCTCCTCCAAGATACTATGCTGTGTGAATACCTGTTACACAGTTGATCCTCCCGACTCTCCAGTTCCAGGCACAGCATGGCTGCACCATTGACGCCTGAGCCCCTCCTTTCCCCCCTCTGCCTGGATTGCATGTACTCTGGCCATCAGGGAGGCCAGGCCCTTCACCCTGTCTGGATCCAGGCCCTTGGGGCCTGCACTTGACTGTGTTCCAGCTAGGACTGGGGTCACTTTGAGTGCCAGGGCAGGCGGAGTTGCTCTCAGTGTCCATGCACCTGACCACTGCCTGGGGACTCTCCTCATCCTCACAGGCAGGCTGGTCTTACATCCCAGGACCTGTCAATTCTTGGTGCTCCTGACCTTGTGTCCTTCTTGTTCTGAGCGTCGTGCTTTCCCTGAGCATTGTTGGGAGCCTTTGACCATCTTCTAATACCTGATGGAAGGCCAGCGGGCACTGGGCTGGGCTCCAAACTCCGACTTTGGCTGGGCTGTAACCTCTGGGTGCTGGGCCATGGGAGGCAGGGCTTTAACAGCTGGTTCCCCCCAGGTCCTTCCTCAGATCCCTGTGAAGAGTGGTGGTCCCCATGGGGCAGGGGTCCTCGGTGAGTGGCTGATCTCTCTCCTTGACTCTACCCTGGAATGTTCCTTGGGGACCTATTGTCAGCCTGTACACCTCCAGGTGCCCACTTGGGGTGGTAGGGTGGGTAGGCGAGAGGGGCCGAAGCAGGGGCTACAGGGTGGGAGGCCTGCTGGAGCCATCTGCTCCCCTCCTCTCAGGGGTGCATCTGGAGGGCCCGTTTATCAGCCGGGAGAAGCGGGGTGCACACCCTGAGGCCCATCTGCGCTCTTTTGAGGCCAACGCCTTCCATGATGTTCTGGCCACCTACGGGTCCCTGGACAACGTTCGCATTGTGACGCTGGCTCCTGAGCTGGGCCGCAGCCATGAGGTGATCCAGGCACTGACAGCCCGTGGCATCTGTGTCTCCCTAGGTGAGGGGTTGTGTCCCCACTGGAGGGGGCAGGTCCACCTGGGGGACCTGGGCTGGTTGCAGAGTCTGATTCTAGGTCCCTGTTCAGGGCACTCGGTGGCTGACCTGAGGGTTGCGGAGGAAGCCGTGCAGAGTGGGGCCACCTTCATTACCCATCTCTTCAATGCCATGCTGCCTGTGAGTGCTGCCACAGCTTCCGGGTGGGTGGAATCAGAGGCTCCTGCTGTGGCTCAGCATTCTCTCTCCTGGCCCTGCCCAGTTCCACCACCGTGACCCAGGTATCGTGGGGCTCCTGACCAGTGACCGGCTGCCCCCAGGACGCCACATCTTCTATGGGATGATCGCTGATGGCATGCACACCAACCCTGCTGCCCTGCGCATTGCCCACCGGGCCCATCCCCAGGGTGAGAAGCCGGGCAGGGTGGTGGCAAGTAGGAATACCAGGTGAGACAGGTCCTGAGGCCTCTTCATCCCTAGGGCTGGTGCTGGTCACTGACGCTGTCCCTGCCCTGGGCTTGGGCAATGGCCGTCACACACTAGGGCAGCAGGAGGTGGAGGTGGATGGGCTGACAGCCTATGTGGCAGGTGAGTGACCCTTGTGCCCACTGGCTGCTCACATTAGTAGAGCCCCTCAGCGTCTGGTGGGATGCAAGAGCCTAGGTGTGCCCTGCTAACCCACATCCCACCCAGTGTACCTGGTGGCCCCCATGCCCCACTCCCCCCCACCCCTGCCCCCAGAGCCGATCCTCTCTGCTCTCAAGGCACCAAGACACTGAGCGGCAGCATAGCCCCGATGGACGTCTGTGTTCGGCATTTCCTGCAGGCCACAGGTCAGCAAAGCTGGTTCGGGGGGCGGTGTGCACATGCACGCACATGTGTAGGGGGAGTGGAGGCTGCATCTGAGGGAGGCTGGAGGGAATGGGGTGACCGCCAAGGTCCTGTGTCTACATCCCTTGTCTGTCATGTCTAGTGGTTCTTTGGGAATGAGCAATGGTAACGTGGCCAAGGTCCCATCTGTAGGGAGTTTACAGCAGGGGGAGAGGAGGACAAGCAAGCAAATGGCTGGAACCCAGGGTGATAGGCACCCAAGCCATGGCATCCAAGATAAGGGTCTTGGCCTGGGACCTGTGGGATTGCAGGAATTGACAGGTGCAGAGCTGTGGGGAAGTAAAGGGGACCAGAGCAGCAATTCAGACTCCAGGATTAAGCTCTGTGGGGGCTTCTTCGGGGGGATTGTATATTCTCGGGAAGGTGGGCAGGGGTATCTGGCAGAGGCTGTGGTTGGGATTCTTGGCAGCACCAGGGTAGGGTGTTATGCCAGGGGCTAAGGGTCACCAAGGTCTAAGGTGCTGTTTAGAGCAGCAAGGGGCAGACTGGGAGGCCTAGCCTTGGGGGGTGATACAGGGAATGGAGAGAATTGGGTTTGATTACTTTACCTCTTGGTGGGGTAGAGGCAGAGCATCTAGTCTCAAGTGGCCTCGTGGATGCCCAGGGTACTGCTTTCTTGTGGGGTGCGCTCTCTGGGACTCGGGAGGAGGAGGGAGGGGCCCATGAGCATTTGGGTCCAGATGGTCCCTGCAGGGCTGGGAACAGTGAGTGGCTGGGAACAGTGTGAACCTGCTGCAGAGGCCTGGGATGTACTCCCCCGACCCTATCCGCAGGACTTGGAGCTCCGGGGGCTGTCCGGGTGGGGGAAGGGGGCACCTACAGAGCCAGCTGGAAATCGAGGATGGTCACCCAGCTGTGTCTCCTGAGCAGGCTGCAGCGTGGAGTCCGCTCTGGAGGCTGCGTCACTGCACCCTGCTCAGCTGCTAGGACTGGAGAAGCGCAAGGGAACTCTGGACTTGGGGGCCGATGCAGGTCAGGGCCTTATGTGGAGCAGCCTGGGCAGCCTGAAGACTTAGGAATTCTTGGGAGGCCTGGGACAGAGACAGGGAGGGCAGAAGGGTGGGATCCTCCCTATGTCCAGGCAGCCTTACCCCACCACCAGCCTTGGTCTGGCCCCCCTTTCCCATCAGGCCAGGCTTTCTGGCATCTGAGACAAGGTCAGGCAAGAAACTGTTGGGACCTTAATCCTTTGTCCCCCTGCTGCTGGTTCCAGGGCCTCGGTTAGTCTGTGCTGGGTCAGGGCATCCTATACAAGTCGTGTCCCAGCCTTGGTTTCTCCATCAGCCTTGGCTGGGGGTAGTGGGGGCAGTCACACCCCTGCCTCCTTCTGACAGCCCATCTCTGACCCAGACTTCGTGATGCTCGACGACTCCCTCCACGTCCTGGCCACGTACATCTCAGGCGAGTTGGTGTGGCAGGCAGAGGAGGCCAGGCAGTAACCAAGGACTACGGCTGGAAAGGACCCCCATCCCCATCTGGACGCTGTCAGTCCTGGGCTGTCTAGGAGCTGGTCTCCCGGGAGTGAGTGGGAACCTGCCCCAAGTGAATGGCTGTGGCCCTGGAGGCAGCTGGCTTGGATAAACCATGTAGCCCACAGGACTTGCCTGGTCTCTGAGTTTTGCTTCAAAATAGGCTCCTTGCTGTTTCCGCTGTCACCCTGATGGTCCTCCTCGGGCGGGCCATGTGGGGGTTGTGGCTTAGGGTTGGCAGTGGCCGGACTCCAGCTCAGCTTGGCTTTGTGAGGAGGCTTTGTTGGGTCCATGAAAGTGATGACAGGGCCCCTTTCTGTTGGAAGGATGTGTCTGAGGCCTGCAGACTTGGATCCAGATAATGTCATTTTGGAAGTAAGTGAAGGCAGGAGAGGGGAAGCAACAGGCTATAGGTTGGAAAGCTAAAAGTGGCAGGAAAGGGCTTGGGGACAGTGAATATAGGCAACTGCAGAAGTTTGCCTATTGTGTGGGTTGAGATAAAAGATACATCTTAGAATTTTAAACAGAAGGGCATTGATCGTGGAGACAGATTAAGAGATGAGCAGGGAAGGGCCTCAGGTGGGCACCGCAGAGGTTTGGGAGGCCAGGTATATGTGGGTGTCCTGTGGTCCTGCTCTTTGCACCAGAGTTGTGCAGGGCCTGGGCACTTCGCCCAGCAACTTCTCCCCTACCTTCAAATGAATCCACACTCGCCTCAGGACCCCAGGTTGTTGAGCTGATTACAGGAGGCAGTGGTTGAAGGGCCCCTGAGCTGATTGTGGCCACTGCCCAGCCTCCATTCCACCTTCATGAACCCTCTGGATAATTCAGGCTCCAATTGTTTTGATGTCCTTTCTGAACAATCCCATCCCTTGATCCCACTCCTAGGAGGGTGTGATGACCCATCTTGCACTCTGGTGTTTGCACAGCTGTGGGTGATCCTGTCTGGTGCTGGTGAGCAGTTCATGTTCACTAGTGTCCTGTGCCCTGCAACTGGACCCCACCTCTGAGTCTCCTCAGTCGTGGCAGAGGTCCCCAGGAGACGGCATATGAGCTCAGCTGCTGTTAAAAGGTGAGCAGCGGTTGTTAGCTTTCTGGTACTCGGTCCTGTCCTAGTGACCTAAGGTTATTCATTTGCTCGCCAGAAATCCAAAGGGATGCCCTGTTGGTCATCTAGGGCAATGAGTCCCAGAGCTGGTGAGCATCAGGGCCAGCATTTGTCCTGACAACCCTGGGAGTCTCCCGTAGACCTGTCACCAAGGCCTGTCTGGGTGGAGAATCACGGAGGGACTGGTTGAGATGGTGGCCAGCCACGTGACACTAGAGGTGACAGGACAGCTCTGGCTGGGAAGAAAGAGCACTTCAGGCAAAGGGAACTGCTCTACAAAAGCCAGTGACACACAGGCTTAGTGTGTTGGAGGAACAGAATTAATGGCCACGGGGGCTGGAGAGCGGTCCAGGGATAGGGGACCGGAGCTCAGCCCTGCAGTTGCAGTGGTGGTTCAGATTTTATTTGAAGTGTGGGGGCAGTGGCTGGAGGGTTCTTTTTTATTGCTTTTTAAATTATGGTAAAATATACATGACAATGACCATCTCTACCATTTTTAAGTGTACAGACGGTTGCTGTTAAAGTACATTCACACTTGTGCAATCATCACCACCATCTCCAGAACGCTTTCATCACTCCAGACGTAAATTGCACACATTAAACACTAACCCAGATTCCCCCTCCTCCAGCCCTGGCACCGGCCTCTCCACTTTGTTACTGAGTGTGAGGATGCCATTTTAAGTATGCCTTCAGGGTGCTGGGGGGTGAGGTGCTGGGGGTGGCAAGGATGCACCGAGGGGCTGGCTGTGGCGTGGCAGTGGGACCAGAGAGAAGTGAAATGGAAGGACAAGCTTTCCCTAGTGTGGGTGTGGACTGAGGAGGGCAGAGGAGATGATGCTAAGTTTGTCCCTGACTCACTGGTGAGTCAAGGTGACTCACTGAGGAGAGGCTGGGGTGGGATCCCTGGCAAGGTGACCTGGTGCGTCCCCAGCATCTCCCTGGCTTGTGTAATGTGTGTGAATGGGAAGACTTGGGGCCCAGTGTTGGTCATAGCCAGAACCTCCTGACTGACAAGTTCGGAGGCCAGTGGCTTTTACTTTATACACGTTGAATGTGCCAACTGCATGCAGCCTTGATGCTGGAGGGGTCCCTTGAAGCCTGGAGCTCCACATGAGGATGACAGGGACACCACAGGGTAAGATGCAGTAAGGGCTGGAGGCTGATTTACGGAGAGGTTTCAGGTGTGGACCAGAGAAGGCAGTTTGGGAGTCAGGGGTGGACAGTAGCAGTCACCCTGGAATAGGGGCTGGGTCAGAGCAATGCAGCTCTTAAAATGAATCTGTAGTAGACAGTTAGGTATGAGCAGAGTAGGAAAGTTAGGCCAGGTGCAGAGGGTCACCAGGGCTGAGAGCCCCCGGTGCTTAGCAACAGGGCAGAATTGCAAGTCTTTGCATTACCACTCCCGTGAACATTAACCCCTGGAGATGGTATCCAGGCCTCAGTTGGGTTTCAGCTCCAGACCCAGAGAAGCAGCAAGGCCAAGGAGAGCATCAGGGCGTGCTACAATGACTAGTGACCCTCTGCCTTGGTGCTGACCAATCAGTGATCATGACAATCATGACCCTGAGGAGATACAATTGGAAAGTTTGTTAATGTTCTGAGATCCACCCAAGACCTGCATACAAAAGCCTTCAGTACTGAGTACCTGTAGCAGTTCTATGGAGCACCCCCAAACCTTTTCCTACCCCTTTCCCTAAGTGTGTTTTCCCTGCCTCTTCTAAGCTCCAAGGGCCCTTATTTGTCTCTGTAACTTCTTTCCTGAGACCATTTCTTCTATGTCTCACTTCTACCTCTATGACTTTCTAAATAAACTTTCCCTTAGAGTATGAGTCTAGTCTTTGAATTCTTTCTTAGCCAGAACACAAGTACCAAGGTTGCTGAACTGAGGATCAGTCTCACTCCAGTGGTCTAACACTTGGTGGTGTTTTTCCCCCAAAAAATACAGTCTGACCAGCTGTGCCGCACCCTTCAGTTGGGGCGCCAGGAGGCACTAGATCAGAGTGGAACCTCAAATCCAAGATGGGGTACAGCACGCCAGGACTCACCTTAGAAGAAACTCCTTCATGAGGGTGGGTTCTGCAGAATCAAAATGGAAGGGGCCCCTGCAGGGCCATTTGGGATTAATTTTTTTGGGGGGGGAGGTCAACTATATTTTTTAGTTGAACAACATGAAGTGCGGGCATTACGTGGTGGGAATACATGAGTCTATTTTAACAGGGTAGCCAGTGTTCTCTTAAATGGATATTCCCTAACATAACCATATCCCAACATGGACAATTACATTTCCTCTCACCCGCACCCCACCGATTCCACATTCCTGACCCTCAGAAACGGTTAGATAATGTCGTTTTAAGTCTTTCAGTTTCAGAGTAACTCAGTCCACATGTTACATACCTAATACACTGGCTGTGTGACATGGCACAACTTCCTGTTTCCTCCCTTGTGCCACGAGAGTTATAGAAATGAGTGAGAAACAAAATAGCACAGGCCCAATGCAAGCGCAGAACCTGGTTTGCAGTGAGTAAGCCACACAAATGGGCCGAGGACATAAGCAGACTTTCAGCCCCGTCCCGGGGTGATTATGGTGATTGTCCTGCCCCTCCCTGGGTGGAACTTGACCTCACAATGTCAGGCCAAGCCATTGCATTCTTGGCCCAAGGTCGCTCTTCCGCCACGGAGAGAAAGAAGCTCTGGGCTAGGACAGAGAAGAGCTGGGGGCTGTCCCTCCCCTCCCTCCAGCCACGGTGCCTAAGAACACTGTTGCTGCAGGGGAGTCCATCTCCCCTCCTGCCCGCTGTCCTGGGAGGGGCAGCCAGAGCCAACCCATGCAGGGGACACCCTGCCCCTCGCCAGGACTGACGATTGGACTGGCCCGGCTTGGGCTTTGCACGCTGGTTGCCATTGAGGCCCCACAAGAGCTGAGAACTGTCCTACCTCCCCCTCTCAGCTGCCACTCCCTGTCCTACTCCTCCTCTCCACTCAGCTACCTTTTTCAGGGCCACCAGGACGCACGCTCCCATCCCTACTTCCCTGACAGGTGAGCCCTCAGGTGGGCTCTGCCTGCTGCTCCACTAGGCTCTAGTGTTCACTGTGTTAATTCTCCCCTTCCTGTACTCTACAAACTCAAGAACAACATGGCCATGCTATGGTGTGATAGGCTCTAATTAAAACACACAAAAAAAGACTCCGGTTCATATTCTGCAACTTGCTTCCTTGCCTTCAGAGCTTTGCCCTGTTCTTTTCAGGAACCACACAGAATTCTCCAGCATGAATGTATCGCAATGTATCGTTCTCTTTATAACTATTTTGGTTCTTATTTTTTGGTGTGACATTCTGACTAAAGCCATGCTTTCGGGAAGATCCTCGCACAGCTTTGCCTTCATGAGTGAGAGCTGCCTAAGAGTTTCCGCAAAGCAGACGGACCCCTTTTACTAACTTTTTATATGGAACGCTTCATGAATTTGCATGGCATCCTTGCTAATGTGCCACTCTAATCTCTGTATTGTTCCAATTTTAGTATATGTGCTGCCAAAGCGAGCACCCATTTTATTAATTTTCCTTCGCATCGATGTTACAGAGGCCAAATGGTTCTAAAAAGGCTTGTAATGAGAAACGTCATTCCCTGCCTCGTGTCTCCATACTCATATTCCACTTGCTACTGGTTTGAATGTTCTTCCTGTGATTTATGTCCATCTTTCTAAAGATCATCCTTGTATTGAGATACCTTATGTCTTGATTCATCACTTGTTGTCACTATCTATTGTCTTTGAGGCAAAGGGGATGAGGAGTCAACTCACTCCTCCTTCCCTCCGTCTCTAGGTTCTACCAAGATGGAGTATGATGATATTTACTGGTTGAATCAGTGCGTCTGTATTATGAGCGAGTATCTCTCACTGCTGTGATGAGTTGAAATGCCTAGGAAACTGTTTTGGCTTCCTATCAGGTATGGCTGTTTCTCTGAAGCTTTCCTCATCTCTCTGCAGCTCAGACATGTGCCCTGACTGGGAATTGCACCAGAGACCTTCTGGTTCACAGGCCAGTGCTCAACCCACTGAGCCACACCAGCCAGGGCTCTCTGTCAGCTTCTTAACTCCATAATTCGAAGTGTCGACGTGGTGCCCTGGCCAGGTAGCTCAGATGCTGCAGCAGCATGCCGATGTGCCACGGTTTGGGGTTTGATCCGCGGTCAGGGCACATACAGGAATCAACCAGTGAATGCCTGAACGAGTTGAATGACAAATCGATGTTTGTCTCTCTTCTTTCCACTCTAAAATCAATCAATCAGTCAATCAAAAAGACAAACAAAAAAGTTTTATGTGGTGAATCCGACCAGAGAATCTATCATTTTCAGAATTTTTCTGGAGCCCTTGAGTCCATGTTCCGCATTCCTATCCGGGATGTCTCCTCACTATCCATGTAAAATTGTACCTCCTCCCTGCGCACTCCTGAGCCTTCCCTTTGCTGATTTTCTCTCTCTCCCACAGCACTTGTTAACTTCTAACAGTCCATAAGATTTGTTTATTTGTTTATGCTTGCCGTCTCCACGCCCTCCCCCAACCACAAGCCCCGTGGTATCAGAGTTCCACGAGGGCAGAGATTTTTGTGTTTTGTCACCAGTGACTAGCCAGTGGCTATCACAGTGCTTGGCATGGTGGGAATGCTGAATACATAGTTGCACAACGGACATCACCCTCCTGTGCGATCTCCTCCTCCTCACGTCCTGGACCTCATGCCTTTGTTCCTTGGTTTACTTACTCATTTAGTGGAGCACATCCCTTCAGTAAGTTTCTGAGAAAAGGTGCTTATGAGATACATACCTCACAGTAGGGGTTATTGACGTAGGTGAATGTGCCCAACGTTCCCAAATGTTGGGTGTGGCTTGGTATGGTGGCAAGAGCGGGCCTCTACCTTGAGCTTGTCTCTGTGTCCACTGAGGGGGAGAGTACCTGGAGAGGGGTTGGCAATGGGCGATTAGCAGCGTGCATCAAAAGTCCTGAGAGGGATGCCTGCACTTTGACCCAGCCATTTCACCTGCTAAGAATTTCTACTAAGGAAATGAGTAAGGGTGTGCCTGGATTTAAGCGCAGGGCCTCGCTCCTGGGGGGAAAAGGCTGGGAACCACTTCAGTGTAACCCAGGATGGAGCTTTATCAATACATGGCTCTATAAGCTTTAGGCTTCTTCCGGAGGAGTCCCCCTGGGTGAGACACTGTTAGGCGAAAAAGGTGAGCGTCAAAGCAGCAGGAGCCCTTCTGGAAGATGGAGGGTACATGCGCCTTTTTGTTGTTTGTAAAGGTAAGTAAATGTGCTGAGGACTGGAAGTCTGGGCAGTCAAACACAGGCTCTATAGCCTAATGGTCCAAGGACGGCCTTTGGCATGTGAGTGTCAAGATTCTGGTCCTGGCAGTACGAGACCTAGGGCAAGCTACGGAACTGGGCTATGCCTCAGCTTCCTCATGTGAAAAGCTGGGCAACGATAACTGGGTGCTTGTTTAGAGTAAATGAGAGCAGGCATGGAAATTCCTTACTAAGAGTAAGTGCTGCTGAATAGAGTTAACGGGGCTGTTACTGCTATCCAACAATTAATCCCAGCCAGTGTGAATTAAGGGTTCAGTTATTTTATACTTACTTCTGTATTGTCCAAAGTGGTGTATTAAAAAAACAAACAAACAAGTAGACTTTTGGAAACAGGAAAAAAAAAGTTTATTTAAAAATACGCAAACCTTCCGGTCCCAAAGATGACTCTAGTTTTGTTTAAAACATCATCGTAGTCCCACAATGTGACTGTATGAATGCCACTGAAACGTACACTAAAATGGTTAATGTGGTGAGTTGTGTGCATTTTACCACAATTTAAAAAACCAACAATAGCATCATCATCGGCAATAACGACTTTGAAAACAATTCAGCACCCTCAACTGCACAAAATGTATGAGCAAACAAGTTCTGAAAGTGTTGCTGGGACTATGAGCAGACATGAGGTGGGATTTGTTTTCTGCCTTAAAACTATGACTCGATAGCCTACATTTCCTACAGTGAACACTACTGGTTTTGTAACCAGTCAAGGTGAGCCTGCCGGTGTGCACGCAGAGCCCGGCTTCTGAGTCCGAGAGGCGGGTTGGAGCCCAGCCTCGCCTCTGATTCGGGTATGACCTTGGCGAGCCGCGAGCCGCGAGCCGGCCCCGGCCCCGGCCCCGGCCCCGGCCCCGGCCCCGGCCCCGGCCCCGGCCCGCCTCATTTCCCCGCCTGGGAGCCTGGGGTGACAGCTCGCCGCCTCCACAGCCCGGCACCGCCCTGCGGCCCTGGGATTGGCTCCCTCTGGGTCGCGCCCCCCCACCCCCAGGCGGGCCCAGCGGCTCCGACCCGCTGGGCCTCAACCCGGAAATGCGGCTCGTCGGCGTCGCCGGGGCCAACCAGGGCCGCGGCGGCGCGGCGGCGGGCACGGCCAATGGGTGCGGGCGGCGCCGGCGGTTCGGCGGAAGTCCCGCCCAGCGTCGCGCGGGAGCGGGGCGGTGCCGCGGGCTGTGAGCGGCGGGGCGGGCGCAGGATGAGGGCGGCCATTGCTGGAGCTCCGCCGCGGGGAGGAGGACGCTGAGGAGGCGCCGAGCCGCGCAGCGCTGCGGCCAGGTGCCCGAGCCGACGCGGGGTCCATGGCCAGGACCACCAGCCAGCTGGTGAGTGCGGTCGCGGCAGCCCGGGCGCACCGGCCTGTCACCTGTCCGAGCGCGGCGGCCGCTTGGGCCCGGCGAGGTGAGGCGGCCCGGGGTTCCGAGGGCCGGGCGGCGTCTCCTCTGGGGCCGGGCAGGAGGGCGGAGGACCGTGCGCACCTCCTCAGCCGCCGAGGGGAGCCCGGTCCCCGTGCGGCGTGCGCCGGCTCGGCGGGGGCGCTGACAGGCGCGCGGAGGGCGGGGGAAGCCGGGGGAGTTGTCATCGGCCCGTGGCGGTGGAAGTGTTTGGAAAGTTTGCTCTCGGCGCGGCCTGGAGCCGAACCTCCGGGGTTACCTTGGGCTGTGTCTGCGGAGGAGCCGCTGTGAGCCTTCGCGTGGAAACGGCGTCGCGGCGCCTCTGTCCGCAGCAGAAGCAGGAGGTGCGAGCTCTTGCTCAGAGCCCCTGGTGCTCCGGGCCTTCCCAATTCCTGGTCAGCTTGGAGTGTGACACTGCTTTCCCGGCCCGGCGGGTGCTTTCCTGCCTTGAGTCCGCGCTCCGGCACAGGCACAGGTGTTGTGGGAAGCCCCTGGGAGGCTCGGCTGGAACCCACGGCGGGGGTCGGGGTAGGGGTGGGAGTGGGGGTGGGGGGTTTGGGGGGAGGGACGGTGACAGGGAGGGGAGGGATTTTCGGGGGGAAAGAAAAAGAAAAGGCTTGTTGGGTTAAATGTTCTGCTAAAAGTATCGCTGGTGTTTCTGTGTTTTTCCTTCGTTGTTAAAAGTACCCCTAGTGCTTTTATGTTTTGCTTTGTTTTGTTTGTTTGTTTGTTTGTTTTTTTACTCCGCTCCGTTCTGGGCTCTTGGGAAGATGGTTTAGGGATTTATACCTTGTGTGCGAATGGGAGGTGGGTGATGGAAGGATGTCTAGACAGTTTGCAAGTTTGGTTCCAGAAGCAAACCCCTTAAGTGAGGGAAGATCCATGAAACGTACGTGACCCTTTATCTTTTTTTTGGGGGGGTGGGGTCATGAGCCTCTGAGAATCTGATGGAAGGTATGTGGCCTCTTCTGCGCAAAACGCACAGCTGCACGGAGTTTTGTCATTACTTTAGGAAGCTCTTGACCCTTCTGCAGCCCACCCGTGAACTTCACGTTAAGAACACTTGGCTTGGTAGAGATGGGTGATAATCCAAAGTCTAAGAGCAAGTGTAGGAGGACCTGTTCTGTTGAGGAAAATGGTGAAAGGCAATAGGGATGTCTTTGATGACTGCGGCATGTGGTGCCTGAGCTGACGTGCAGGGGCAGCGCGATTTAGGATGCTTGGCCCACTCTGGTGGAGGCCGAGGCTGACGATAACCCTGGATGTTTGTAAAGTAAACTTTCGCACAGCGATGCTGTTGCAGTGCAGTGTGTGCACTTTGACGGCGTCCGTCCGAAGAGGAAAAGAGTGTATATTCTCATAGTTTCGGTAGCTCCATGTGATGGACATTTGACATCTGGATTTTTCATGTGAGGACAAATAGATTAGCGTGGTTCAGGTGAGTTTGCCGTTCAAGTCGGGAATTTTAAGGTGTCACTGTATGAGAACCCCTGTCCCAGTGATTAATTTTCCCGTTTCCTGAAGTGTGTCCAGCCAGCGCAGGGTACACGAGCAGTTGTGAAGTCTGAAAATGGCCTAGCCGTGCTTGACAGTAAGGCGCGCCCCATGCTGTAGTGGCACTGATTGAGCACTTCCTTTAAGGCAGGGACAGGCACTTGGCCAGATAGCTCACACGTGTGGCCTGGCTTCTGCCGACAGTGTTGGAGGTGGGTTTCGTCCCCATTTTGCAGATGAGGAAACCGAGCAGTGGCAGGGGCCCGGGAGCCACCCTGGCCCTCAGGTGAGGAGTGCCCTGGGGG